TAATGGAGGAGCAAACTGGACTGCATTGTGTAATGCAGTAGAAAAGATCAACAAAGCAGCAGCTGATTATATCAGTTAGTTGATAATTCTATTATAAGATTAATTTGCACAATTCCATATACCATAGTTGTCCTTTTATACTTTCATATAAAGTCTTTTCCTTATTATAGGAGGCCGACATCATGTAATGCCATCAGCCCCATCACAACCAATAATTGAGCAAAGTATTCATTTCAATGTAATGTTAATTATTATTTATGATGCTTAAAATGTAGCAAATCATCAAGATCATACTGAAGCATCACAAATGACAAGTAAGTTGTACATTGTTTGATATTGTTCATTTTGTACACTAGTGGTTTCACATTATTTTATCATTACTGTATAGCATTAAAATTTTGTAGAGTTTTAAATATACAAAAGTGCAAAATTTAAATTTTTGCAGAACTATATTCATGCAAAAAATTATTACTCCTCTGATAGCTATTTTTAAAAACTTGCTAAACTATATTCTCTACAAACTTTCATGCTATATAGTGTCCTAAGGGCTTGATCAGGGGGAGAAGGTTTTTTATCCCAAAAAATCATAATCAATTTGTTGCCATGTCAATGATAATGTCCAAGAGAATTTATAATCATTTTTTCATTATTGAAACACTATAGATTTTAATGAAGGGCCACGATACAGACAGAAACCTTGTAAGTTCTGTAAATTACCGTATAGTACAAAAAAATTTTGAGGGCTTTAAATTTTGCGAATTTTGCAAATTTTTAAAGATTTATAAAAATTACTTCCATGAAAATCAAATTATTACAGTAAAAGGTGGCAGACAGCATAAATTAGCGAAATAGATTTTATGCAAATTTGTGAAATTTACAGCCCTTGAAATTCTGTGCTATACAGTACTTGTCTTAAGAGCTTTTGTACCTCCAATAATACTAAGAATTATAACTTTTAGCTGATGCTACTGATAATGAATCAAAAGAAGCTGAAGAAACTGATGGTACTCCACCTTCTAATCCATTGGTTCCTGAGGCTTCATCTGGTAAATTTTATATATTCTTGAACATGGCTTTAAAAATTTTTTTTTATAGACAAGCCACTCAAATGGTATGAAAAGAAATCTGTCATAGTATTGGTTTTTTGCCTCATGCTCCTTGCTTTTGTTGTGGACTCAATATTTTTAAAGGGCTACGTGAAAGAGCTATTATTAGCTATTATTGCTGTCATACATCATTTCAAATAGGCTTTTTATTTTTGTATTAACTGATAGTTTTGTGAAAATAGCTGAATATTGTGTATAAAAATTTTAGTAAATTTAGCACTGGAATATGTACGCGTATCATGTGTTGGTATAAGTATGAAGATAGGATTACAGTATTTTTTAATCATTCCTTTATATTCCTTTTGTTATACATAGATAGTCATGAAGATTGTGATCATTTTTCTTGGAGTAATGCTATTTCTATTTCTCTTTGCTTTTCTTTTCTTAAAATCTTAGAAGTAACCTATAACCTTATAGGTATTGCTACAGCACTGAGCACACTACCAACACTTTGAAACAGTTGACAACTCTTGACAATATTCATACTCAATTATTATAAACCTGGCCTCGCCCACTGCTAGATCTATCTAGATAACGTCCCCGTGATGGAGGAGGATAAGGAGCAGAAGCGAGCACTAAGAAAAGCGGCCCAGGAGTCCATTAGAGCCAACAGTCAAACGCTCTCGAGTTCACTTCAAGCAAATCAAGCTGAAGTTTTTCCGACAATAGTTTCGAAATTTGCTGGACAGCAGGTTATAAAATCAGAGAATGCATACCTCGATATTGCCGCCAGACAATCATTAGCAGACGGAGCTGATCTGCTCGTTTCAGAATTGCAGAGAAGAGTTAGTTCAGTACCCAATGCGCTGGATGATATTCTCTGTATCTTACATGAGAGTGGCAGTCCTGTTGTACAGGAAG